CTAACTTTTAAAAAATATTTATACATATGGCTTTTGTTAATGAGATTTTAGTTAAAAATTTCAATGAAATGTGATATTTTAGTGAAAATATTGATTATATTTATGTTATTGTAATTTAAAAATATTATTCATGGGTATCTAATTACTGAAACTTCAATGTGAAAATTAATTAAACCTACTGTATTAGTAATAGTTAATTAGTAAATATAATTATTTTAACAGCAATTTGTACACGTTAACTCAAAAATGTTTTTCATATGCAATGATTTATCATTAATTCAAATTTAATATATTATGTTTTACAATAATATGACTTATTCCATGACAAAGAACATTCAACACCTACTGCACATTTTTAGAGTAGGTGTTACCTATTTTCTCCTTTTTTTTTCTTTAATACATTAATATTTTTCTAATCAACTGCATTAATGTTCAAAACTTAATAAAGTTGTATAGATCAATAATGATTATTTTACCGCCTGTGTTTATACAATCTATATGAATCTAACTATTTATTTAATCATTTAGACGTTTCATACCTACACTTCTGCTGATAAAAAAACATAGTTATACTTACCGGTTAGGTATTAATTATACTCTGCTACATATGATGTGAATTCTATTATGTAAATTGTCTATAGTACATGCAAATATACAATACTATTCATGATTGGTTTTATGACAATACACAATAAGTCTATAACTGTGTTAAAAATAAAAACAGACCTCTGCAGGAACTGCACTTCCCCTACTGAGTCAAAACGTAAGGCCAGTGCTTTGGAAAAAAAGTCACATCCGTGTGCATAATCCAGCCACTGAATTCTACTCTTATTTTGAACAGAGTGTAGTCTAGATCAGCGGTTCCCAACCTGTGAGYTCATTTAAGGAACGCCACGGTTCATCCGAGAATGAAAAAAATTATTAAATTATATATTAAAAATTTATTGTAGTTAAAAGACAAAAAATTATTTTACGTACAAAGTTACTTAGAATACTATCTGTATATCCAATATTAAATATAGTATTTCTAATATGTGTCAAAAAATTCAATAATAGATAAAAACATKGCCAAACTTTCCAAAAAAAAGCAGCCTCTAATACCTCATTAACTATTAGTTTTTCACTATTAAAACAGAATTTTTGTTTTTTTAATTTCAACAATAAAATTATAATTTATTAATAATATGTTCAATAAAATTATTTAAATCAGTTATGAATGAAAACTAGTGTTTATTTTTATCACATTTCTTGTGATATTCATAGAAGGGCACCTAACAAAATTTGTACAAACAATAGGGCACCGCCTGCTAAAAATGTTGGGAACCGCTGATCTAGATGATATATATTTTTTTTTAAATATATATTTTGTATACAATATACATGCATTATAATRTAATATAAACACAGTTAAATGTTCTCCAAATACACATTGTATATATAATAGATAAATTAAATATTAATAATATTAAAAATAATGCTGCAATTTTTCATTATTTCTGTGAAATTAATTGATGGTTTGCTATAAGCTCCAAGTCATAGTGATAAATTGGAAATAGTTACCCAAAACAACAGGTCCATTGAAAGTTACTTACAAATCTATTTTCTGCTCTAAGCCCTTAATATGCAAGCAATAAAAATTATTGACAAAACTATTGATAAATATTATACAGCAGTAAAAAAAAAAATATTTCCAACTTTTTCCAACTTAATATTTGATAATCAGATAGCTTAGGTTTTAATTTATAAGTATAAATGTAACACTAACTGTTTAATGATTCTCAAGGAATATGTTGGTATACTGGATTACCGGTCAGCAGTCATATAGTCATAAGAGAGTAAAGAGTGATTCACCAAGCATGCTCATTCCCCTTTTTTTCTTAAATAATTAATTTATTAAAATTCTAATTTTTAGAATTTTTAAATACACTTAAATATCATATTATCAAATCATTGGGACTAATACATAAGGAGTATTCTGAACCCCTTTCCCTTTTTATTTAAATTATTAAATGGATTAGTTTATTAAAAATGTTAATGTACCTAATTCAAAAATTCCAATAACATTTTAAATAATTAAATAATAAGATACCTATCTTAATTGTCACCTATATTTTTGACTTAAATGATTAAATATATTTACTTAAATGTTGTCCATGTCTTGTCTACTAATAGTATTATAATTTTTATAGGTAGATGTTTGAATTTCTTGATTTCTTAGTGTATGTAGGTATCTTAAGTWATTCCAATGTTCTAAACAAGTGTTACCAAATACAAAAAGTTTGTGACAGTGTACAGAAACTGTTGACTTTGAACCATTCTTGTTACAAGATACTATAAGATTCTAAATAAATAATAAACTATTGCATTCATATGACAATTTTTAGCTTACCTCTGTAAGAATTAAGCTTGTAAGTTTTGATACAAAGATATACTGGCTGACTATACTTTTTACTTATACTTGAAAAAAAATCCAACTATAAGAGACCTTTTTAAATTACCATATACGCTTTAACTCTGATCTAAAATGAAACTTATACTTGAATACACCCTTAATACTTCAATCCAAATATAAAAGAATTAAAAATTAAATAATAAATAAATAAACATCTAGGTAGAATTATTTCTTTCCTTGCTTCAATTAAAATKTATACACAATATATTGAAAAAGTATTTTAACATCATATATATTTTTTTTTCAATGTTAAGTACAATTAATTGAATATTTTATTTTAATTATGTTTTTTTTATAATACTAAAACTAAAGGTAAACAAAATAATTTGTAACAAGATAATCAAAATAACTCTTTACTCTGTAAATATCTTGTTAAATCAAATAGTAAATAAATATAAGTCACTTCCATGACAAACTTTCTCTAAGTAATCATTTAAAAAACGTTTTAAATGATACCTAACAAAATCCAGGTATTAAAATAAATGTAATAAAATCTAAACTTTTATTAGTAAATTTCTTAAAAATTACAAGCATATAAATATTGGTTAATGAACAAACGTAATAATAGTATTTAAAAAAAAACTAAGCTAAGGAATACATCATGGGATTCCTGGCACAGCAGGTCCATAAAAAAAAATATATATGTGTATATATATATATATATATATATATATTTACGATACAGAAATATTGTATAATGTAGTAGGTAGCGAAAAATGAGTCGATAAAATGTTTCAATTATTTTGTAATTTCAACTTTATTTTTACAGAACAGTTATAATATAAAAAATAAAGTTAAAATAAGTTACAAAATGCACTATGATTAGTGATTACCCGATAAAAATTCTCCCCAACAGTTTTGCTTTGTACATATTTTGGCAAACAATAGGAATACATGATTATAATTATAGTGTTTATTATAGAAAAATAAAATGATATATTTTGTCTTGCACCATGATTTGTACAATCAGGTTTATTTGTTTTAAATGCTGAAAATCCTTAAAACGACATGGTAATTTGAAAAATTGTATAAAAATATGATATATTTTATTTTCTAAGTAGATTTTTATATTCTCAAAAAGACATCACTTACAACAAGGCACATTTGCCTTTCTTCTTTTTCTTTACTTGTAATGCAGCTCTTGTTGATGTTTCAAATACTTCACGGACACCCTCCTTACTTTTAGCTGAACATTCCAAATAAGCAAATGCATTGATCTTTTCGGCCATTGCTCGCCCCTCTTC